TCTCATCTCGATTGTGCTCCGACTGTCCTGTCTGTCGGCTCTTTCTGATAATCGGCAGGCCTGGTTAGTACATTCTTCTTCATCTGTCTGGTGGGCGGTGGAGACAAGAGAACAATCAATCTGTACATCCTCTTGACTGTGCTCCGGCAGACGAAGACAGGCCAGTTCTTCTGCTCAAGGCCCAGGCGAGCAAACAGTCTTGAACGCAGCTACGGAACGGTTGGATCGTTTCTATTCGCTATCTGTGATCCACAAATAGCCACACTTGATCCGTGATTCGTTGCCGTCTGCACACAATCAGCTATCCGCGATGCACCAGCTGCACTCCATCTTCCATTATTGCAGATTGTGACGCTCGATTCACGATTCCTTTCTTTCTTCCCGCGCTTCATGATCGGAGATCCAATTTCCTCAATATGTGATTCGTGATCCTCCATCTGCTTGCCATCATATGATGTCTGCGATTGACGAGTCGTGCTTCGCTTCGTTCAATCTACGATCAACTGTCGGCAATCGCCATTCCGCCTTTCATGAATCCCGATCGGCAATCCGTGAACTGAGATTCCTAAACCAACATCCCCAATTCGCATTATTCTAGCCTCGAATCGTGATTCGCCTCCTTCTAGCAATTAGTCACAAACTGTAAACTTCGATCCACATTTTGCTAATACCGATCCGCAATCATTTTTCAATATATAAAATCTGCAATTCACACTAATTGTAGATACTAATGGTAACTGGATCTTGGTCGAATATTCACTTTAAATCATCCGCGCTCTGTAAAGTACATCCCGTTTCCAATATCCTCGCTTTAGGATAATCTCTGTTTTAGATATGACCTGCGATCGGCGATTCAAAATCCGCCTTTCGGTATCTCAAATTCGTGATACTCGATATACGATATTTGATACTTGATCAGCGATCTATGATTTACGATCAGAAGTCTACTTTCCTACATTCTCGATTCGCAATCTGCATTCCATTATCTGAGATACTCGATTCACAATACTCGATTTGTAAACATTTACCTTTAATACGAATTTAAAGTTGGCAAACGACTTTCTGTCATTCGCGATCAGCATTCTGCTTACTATACTTTAAGATCGGCGACTTACAATAATCACTCCTCGATCCGTGATCGGCGATTCGCCATCCTCAAATGTTGATCAACCTCCCATATGCGAAGAAAAGTTGGGTTTCGAGGAATCTCTTATTTCATAATGGTTTACCCTACTTCTATTTCGAGTGCAAGTGTTGGGTCAAGAGATTCCAAGGTCGGTTCCACCAGAAGACGAGGGCGGATTCCTTTTGACCAGCTGTCGAATAGCTTCACTGAAAGATTCATACTGACGCTGTTTCCGAGGTAATCTCCTTCGATTCCAGCGAAAAGGTGCTAAGTTTTCGTGCATCATATGACGAACATCATCAGAGCAAGGTATCATCATTATAGTCAGCGATTTGCCAGTGAGTTTTCTTGACTCGTTAGCTTGAATTT